GTATTAAAATATATAGTAAAACCCTTTTACATTGCCTGGCCATTTGCCCAGAAACATGTTTTCTAAATTTAAGGGGATACTGGTCCCAGTAACAATATTGATATTTAGCTTGATTTTACCCCAGTAAGAAAATAATTTAGGGCAGCTCCAAAAGATATGATAGTGATGGGCCTGTTTTGACCCACATGACCTCCAGCATGAAGTGTCTGCATTCGTGCCCCTCCGGGCTGGTGTTTTAAAGAAACGTGTAACGTTCTTCCGAGCTAATTCCCTCCATGTCAAAGAAGACGTACATTTCCAACAGTTATTTAAAATGTCTGACCAGTCATCAATCTGAATCTTGTTACCTTCCTTCTCCCATTTATCCTTGAAATATATTGTATCTGCTCCTCAAGTTTTGTATTTCTAAATATAATTTTGATGTTAATTTATTATTAGGTTTTGACTGGTATGATTTAAGAAAGATGTTTAAGATATATAAGAAGGGCCTATCCTTGTCATCTTTCTTTGTTTTATCTAAATAGTGTCAGATTTGTAGGAAGTGAAAACATTCTTCATTTTCAAGACCATACTTCTGTTTTATAGCTTGAAAGCTCCTCAGGGAGCCTTTATGATAAAGATCACTATATTTCATCAAGCCTTTTTCAATCCATTTCTTAAAAGTGTTGTCAGTTTTATTTGGAGTCAAATCTTGGTCATATGCTATCCATCTAATCAGCAAACAGGATTCTTTATTTTATTTTACTAGCTTTGACCACGTCCTAAGTGCTGTTTCTGTACATGGATTGAGTTCCTCTATGTCTTTTATTAAATCTATGTTGCCACTTGCCACTTTTAGGGGGATATTATTCCTTATACATTCAATGTCCTTCCATTTTTCTATATTAGATGGATCACATATTTCCACTAATGGGTTTATTTGTGCTGCCCTGTAGTAACTTGTCATGTTTGGGAGTGAGAGGCCTCCTTTATTTTTAGTCAGTTGTAACGTCTTGTATCTGAGGTCGTTTTCACACC